AAAAAAAAAAAAAATGCTCAGAATCACTCATCATCAGTTTAGTGCAAAGAAAAACAAGATGCAGGCCAGCAAGATGGCAACCTGAGTGCAATCCCTGGAATGTAAAATGGAATGAGAGAGGTGACTTCACAGAGTTGTCCTCTGGCATTCCCTACACACACACACACCCCTGTGCCACCACGGCCAGTAAACGACCTCCCCTTACCCCTGCAACACTAGTAAGAGGCCCTTGGAGGCTGACGGTTTTCTCTTAACTTCATCAGAAAAGGAGTCTTTTGAAAGTGCTCCCTGTGAAATAGTTTATGGTTTCTGAAGCTGTTCATGTAGGATTTTCTCCTTCAGCTCATGTGTAAATGACAGGTATGCCCTGTGCTTTCCAACCAACGCTAATTCTGAACACAGGTCTTTTAGAATTAGAAAAGAGAAAGAACTGCTCTTTGAAACTCTCTCAAAGAGTTTCAAGTTTCCTGGGGATGTTAAAGTCTGTTAGTTAGGGCTATAGCTCAGGAGCTGTCTAGCATGCCCAAAGCTCCATGTTCACTCTAATAAAGTCAGTTTTACATTTGTGTATGTGGGAGGCAGGGAGAGACAGGCAAGCGTGAGGAAGCCAGAGGACAACTTCAAAGAGTCAGTTCGCTCCTTCTACCATGTGGGTTCCGGGGGAACTGAACTCAGGCAGTCCATCTTGCCAGCCCTTTGAGCCTACTGTTAAAACTCGATTGTGTAATCAGTTACAGGCCAACTGGCTTCTCTCAAGTCTGTAATCTACATGCATTACCTGCTTTATGCTGCTCCCCAGTGCCTTTGGAATTCTGGTGATAAAAATGTCCAGCCGACCTGTTAGAAAAGAACATGCAGAATATGTAATCTGGCGGCTTGAGAGCCAGTGAAGACCAAATGTCCAGTGACAGAGGCAAGCGCCACATGCTCCTGACTTTTCCTGTTTTCATCAGTGTCTTGCAAATTTTCCCTTTCCAATTTGGCTACAAGAAGAATGGCTCTAAGCTTTCTCTAAGTGAGCTGTCAGCTTTTTATGCAAGTGAGTGTATTACTAGGGGATAGAACCGATGGCTCACAGATGATAGGCGAGTGCTCTACCACTGAGCCTATCCTCAGTCTCATTTATACTTTACTAGCAAGGATTTAGTTAAAAGTTGGTCTCATTTCTATAGCTTCTTAGTCTAATTCTTATAGCAATACCAAATGAGTAGTTTGGTTCCTGTACTACCCACGGGATATCTTGTTCATTAGTACTTTCAGTACTGAAAAGAGTAGTTATTTTGTGCTGGAACTAGTAAGTTGAACTAGAACTGGCCTGTAATGTTTCCAATCTTGTATCGGTTCTTGTTACTTTTCTCAAAAAGTTAAATTGCTTCCTGCAGTTTCTCAGTAACTGCTGAGTTTACTGAACCAGCACAGCACACCTCCATATATTGTGAAGAACAGGAAAGAATCCGACATCACATCTTTAAGAAATCTTAGCACCAAATATACAGTACAACAAAATGTACATTTAATATAAGTATTTAGCCGGGCGGCTGTGGCGCACACCTTTAATCCCAGCACTCAGGAGGCAGAGCCAGGCAGATCTCTGTGAGTTCGAAGCCAGCCTGGTCTACTGAGCTCCAGGACAGGCACCAAAACTACACAGAGAAACCCTGTCTCGGACCCCCCCCCAAATAAATAAATAAATAAATAAATAAATAAATAAATAAATAAATGTGTGTGTATTTAATAAACATAAATAAATATGTATTCCATGGCCGTGGATTCAGCAAGAGCCATGGTTGTGAACCTAACTGGATCCCAGTCATCCTGCTCTTGATTTTAAGGAAGGAAGCATGGAAGGGGACGGGAAGCATGGCCTCTGGCGCAGTGACATCAGAAGTCTACTGTCCTCACCATCCAGGAAATAGGTAAAACCCGCCCAGGCCAGGGAAGCATGGCCTCTGGCACCGTGACATCAGAAGTCTACCGTCCTCACCATCCAGGAAATAGGGAAAAGCCGCCAGGCCAGGAGTGACAGTCCACACTAGCCATCCCAGCACTCCGAAATGGAGCATGAGGATGAGTAGTTCAAGGGCAGCCTGAGCTCCGTTGAGTGTGTGTCAGGAAACCAACCCCGCCAAACAAGTCATGATCAACTGGCTTGCTGGCCCACAGCCCCATCTGACAGAGGCGGCCAATGTCGCAGGGACTGGCTGGGTGGCGGGGCTGGGGCGGGGAGGAGCAGGGTGGAGGGCGGGGAAGCTGGGTCCTCGGTTCCCGCTGGGTTCGCAGGGCCCTCTCCGGGGCTGTCCCGCTCCGAGGCCGCCTCGCCAGCCCCGGGCCTCACCAGGAGCCCCTTCCTCTCTCTCTCTCTCTCTCCCGTGCCTCCTCCGCAGGGGTTCCCGGGCCTCACCCGTCGCCGCCTTCCGTCCTGGCCAACGCGGGCAGCTCTGCGGCCCCGGGACAACGGCCCGGCATCCCGTCTCGGCACGCGTGCGCGCCACGCGCGCTGGGAGGCGGCGGGCTCCGGCTCTACCCTGCGACCCTGCCCGAGCGGCTTCGGGACGGTGCCCAAGGTGACCCGAGACCCTGGAGCTAGACCCGGGGAGAAGGAGGCCTCAGGTGACCGGGCATCTCTCGGTGATGGGGACGCGTCAGGCCAGGGTCACACGCACGGACACACACGCACGCACACACACGCACACACGCTCCCTTCCAGCGAAAGGTGCCTCCCCCTGGAGTACTCCAGACCCTCCGCGGGTCTGCCAGCCTAACCCGAGAACCCGTGCACCGGCCCCCGGGCCGCCGAGCGTTAGCCGCAGTCACCCAGGTAACCACCTCCGCCGCTGGACCAACCGACAACGGCCCGCAGCGCTCTCTCTGCGCACGCGCGAACCAGAGGCTCCGCCTCCTCTCCTCGTCCCGTCCCCGCCCCCCCCGCAGTACGCGTTTCTCGTCGGATATTTGGCTCTCGAGACGCTCCGTAGCTCCGGAGGGTGTCGCCCATCCCCGGTGACGAACCAGGGAGCTGGGAGCGCGATTGGCTCGAACCCACGTCTCCGGAGCTCAGGGAGCCTCGTTGCGCGAAGGCTGAAGGGAGGAGTGTGGCCGGCGGCCGCGCACCGGGGCGGCCGGCATGCCTCGGTATGCGCAGCTAGTCATGGGCCCCGCGGGCAGCGGGAAGGTGAGGCTGGAGGAGCTGCGGTTCGGGGGCGATGGGGCCCCGGGGAGCCCTGGGTAATTCGCTCCCGCTCTCTGCCGGTACCTTGTTTTGGTTGGGGGGCGGTGGGGTGGGGGTAAAGGCAGCTTTAGTTGTTACTGGGGAGCAGGCGGGGTGGCTGAGTGCTTAAGAGCGTGTTCTGCTCTTCCGGAGGACTGGGGTTCGGATCCCAGCACCCGCACAGAGCTGTAACCCCAGCCCCAGGCCTCCACGGACAGTGCATTCCTGTGCACGCACCCACACAACACACACGCTTTTAAAATAGTAATAGTAGTGGGATGCTTTTGCCCCAGGAACTGCTCTGGCCGTCCCAAGTGTTTTCACAACCACTCCGGGAGTTCGGGCCTGTGCTACTTATTCTACAGATTAGAGAAAACGAGACACAGAAAGGTTAATGTTTTTTTTTTTTTTTTTTTTGTTGTTGTTGTTGTTTTTGAAAGTCTTACGGTTAGTTCTGGGCCAATATTTTGAGTCCGTTTTTGTCTAATTTCAGAACAGGCCCTCGGCCACACATCCAGAATAGGGTCTTGTTCTTCACTATTCTGGGAAGTTTGAGCCTTGGGGTCTATCCCAGGACCTGGAGGGGGGAGGAAAGTTGGGATATGGATTTCTGATCTATGTATCTCACTTGTGTGAACTGCCCAAAGAGACCAGAAGAGGGTGTCGCTTGCAGAGAGCCCTGGTCTTGAGCACTCAGCCATCTCTCCAGTTTCTAGAGGATGTGTATTGCAGGTTTTCATTCCGTGTGGGTGGGTGGGGAGTGTCTTCTATTATTGTTGTTTGTTTGTTTCTGAAACAGAGGCTCACTAGCTTTTAAAGGCCTGGAACTCATTATCTAGACCATCTAGTCTCCACCTCAGAGATGCGCCTGCCTCGGCCTCCTCAAGTGCTGGGATTGAAGCTGTGCACCACTACTCCCAGCCTCTAGACTCAGCTCTTAGCAGGCAACAGCATTAGTAGCGTGTAGCAGTGGTATTGCCTTTGATCCCAACACTTGGGAAACGGAAGTCAGGAGAATCTTGAGCTTGAGGCCAATCTGAGCTACAATGGCAAGAAAGACCTTGTCTCCAAAAGAAAATACAAAACCTAGTTTTATGATTGGCTGAGTTAAGTGCCTTGTCCAGTGATTAAGGTGGGAGATGGGCTGGTTATTAGATTAAGAAAATGAATGGCGGGTGCCGAGGCAGCCAGGGGTGGGGTCAGGGTTGATAAACACAGCATACCACCTACCCTGATTGGCTTCCCGTGTAAGATTCCAGAAGTGCTGAATGTGGTTTTGCACACCAGCACTTGAGGCAGAGGCCAGCTTGGTCTACATAGTGAGTCAGGTAGAACATCACACTGAACACCCATCTCAAGAAAAACAAAAAATGCCGGGCGGTGGTGGCGCACACCTTTACTCCCAGCACTCGGGAGGCAGAGCCAGGCGGATCTCTGTGAGTTCAGGGCCAGCCTGGGCTACAGAGTGAGATCCAGGAAAGGTGCAAAGCTACACAGAGAAACCCTGTCTTGGAAAAAAAAAAAAAAGAAAGAAAGAAAGAAAGAAAAACAAAAACACCACCTTCCCCAAGTGGGGCTGAGTGGTTCGTGCTGTTATCCCAGAACTGGGGAAACTGTGTCAGGAGGGAAGTTGTGTGTGACATAGGCCGCCATCTAGCTTGGTGGTGGGTGCTTGCCCATGATGGACAAGGCCCTGAGTTCAGTCCCCGGTACTGTAAAAACAGCAACAATAATTAGTAAATAAAACACTAAGTTGAATCTTAATTGGTTTTGGAGACAGAGTCTTACTGTGTAGTCCATCCTGGTCTTAAATTCATGGTCCTCCTGCCTCAACTTCCTTTTTGCTGAGATGATAGGTAGGTAACCCCATATCTAGCTGGAGAAGGTTACTTTTTTTGGTTTTTCGAGACAGGGTTTCTCTGTGTAGCCCTGGCTGTCCTGGAACTCGTTCTGTAGCCCAGGCTGGCCTCGAACTCACAGAGATCCACCTGGCTTTGCCTCCCGAGTGCTGGGATTAAAGGCATGTCCCACCACTGCCCGGCCTTACTTAGGATTTTCTAGTTACCTTCATGCTATGAGAAATATACTCATAATTATTTTTTATTTTTAATTGTGATGCAGTGTTTCCTTGTTTTGTTTTGAAACAGAATTTCTCTGTGTAGCCCTGGCTGACCTGGAACTCACTCTGTAGAACAGGCTAGCCTCAGAGATCCACCTGTCTCTCTCTGCCTCCCAAGTGCTGGACAGTGTTTCCTTGGAAAGACATTAAGGGAATGATATTAGGGATACTAGACACAGTAGAAAAGGCAAAGATAATGATCATATGTCACGTTTGGGGAATCCCTAACATGTGTGGAGGTATTGTGTCACTTGAGTGTTTAATGAACACATGGTCCTGAGTACCGGAGATGTACATGTGACTGCACAGAGCCTGTAATCTCTCTGGGAAGGTAGATAGCTGACCTGTCAGTCACAGTACATTTTGATGCTTGGAGGGGTTGTCTCAGCCAGAGAGAGCAGCATGTCAAAAGGGAAGCGTAGTGACTGTCGTTTGTGTAATCTAAGTTAATTTTTGGACTGTGTTAAAGTTCCCCGAGCCCCAGCCACCTCTTAGTCCATAGCTCTGTTTTCACTGCCTTCCCTGAAGGTGCCCCTTTGGCCTGAGTGGACACTGTCCCGAAGAGTGGAGAAATCCCCGGGGGTGTGGAGGGTGGCACCATAGTGCTCTCCGTGCTAACCGTCCCACCTTATGACCTTGCAGAGCACCTACTGCTCCACCATGGTGCAGCACTGTGAAGCCCTCAACCGCTCTGTGCAGGTGGTCAACCTGGATCCCGCAGCAGAGCACTTCAGCTACCCGGTGATGGCTGGTAAGTCCCGGCAGAGCCACCTTCAGTAACGCATCCCCCGCCACCAAAACCTGGCTGCGCGGCCCAGAAACTGAAGATCCCTTACTCCCAGGCTCACCGCGGGTTTCATGATGAAGGAGATGAAGCCGAGGGTCATTGGGTGATGGGTGTCTGTGGGTGTGGGTGCGATGGCGTCCTTTCTTGGTCTTTGCTGTGAGACATAGAAGTGAGTGGACTCCTGCCTCTCTGCTCTTCTCTCTTGTCCCTTTGTTACCGTGGTAAGGTGGTTTGTATGCAGTAAACAGGCTCGGGCCTGGGGATGTGGCTTTGTGGTGGTGGGATGCTTGTCTAGGGTAAGGAAGCCTTGAGTGAGCACCACGGAAAACCAAGCGGGGTGGTGTATGTTTGTAACCTCAGTGCTCAGGAAAACAAACCAAATAAATTTTGTTTTTATTAAAAAATGGTAAACCTGGGCTGGAGAGATGGCTCAGAGGTTATGAACATTGGCTGCTCTTCCAGAGGATCTGAGTTCAATTCCCAGCGACCACATGGTGGCCCACAGCCGTCTGTAATGAGATCTGGTGCCGTCTCCTGGCATACAGACATACTATATACATAATAAATAAACAAACAAACACTAAAAAAAAAGCTTAACATTTTTTTTAAGGCAGGTAGATCTCTGAGTTCAAAGCCAGCCTAATCTACAAAGCGAGTTCCAGGACAGCAAAGGCTACCCAGAGAAACCCTGTCTGAGGGCGGGGAGCAGGGAACCATGATAAACCCCAATCAAGGAGAAACTGCTCACTTAGATGGAAGATGCAGATATCTGGACCAGCAGCCATCTAGGCACATTGAGCCCCGAGGATGGGTGATCGATCTCATGTTGGGAGGGCTTTGGTGAGAGAAGAGGAGCCGAGGCTGAGCCCTGATGGTGTGTGTTCTTTGGAGACTGTTCGAGGTAGTGGCATCAGGAAGGTGTGAGAAAGGTACAGCTTCAGAAAGGACAAGAGGGAGTTTTTCAGGAAAGCGGTGTTGTTCCCATTCGGTCCAGCCGAGCAGTTGTGTAAGACAGTGGCAGGCGGTGGCTGTTAGATGTGGGAACGTGGCGACATTGGCGGCCATGACCAGAGTCAGCAGTGGGGCTGAAGGAGAGTGGGAGTGGACTGAGGAGGGAAGTGGAGGGTGCTGCCTGCCGTGTGGACACTGCCACGGACTGTTTTTATTTTTGCTTGAGTTTTGAAATCGTCTCATGTAACTGGGGCTGCCCTGGAACTCCTTATATGTCTAAGGATGACTGTGTACTTCTAAACTCCCTGCCTTTACCTTTTGATTGCTGGGGTAACAGACTTGAGCCTGGGGTGTGGTTATGAGAGTGTGGACTTCTAGTAGGTGGAGCAGCAGGCTGAGGAGGGGGTGGAAACCACCTTGTCATCCTCCTTCTCCCCCCAGCTGAGGACCGAACCCAGGGCTTACCCAGCAAGCGCTCTACCACTGAGCTAAATCCCCAACTCTCATCTCTCTTGGGAGAAAGGCAGGCTGTTGTTTGGGGATCGTGTGGGTGAAAGCGCTGAAGCTGCCTTAAGTGAAATGATGTATTAGAAGGACCTAAGGGCCTCACAGAACCCAGGAGGAAAACTGTATGAGATGAGAGGCCAGCCCAAATGAACAGGAGCCAAGGCCAGTTTTGATTTCCCAGATGCCTGAGAACTGTTTGTATGCCAGGATATTTAATCCTTTCTGTAGGTAAGTCGCACAGATCCCACCCTTCCACCCCAGGACGAGTGTGCTCTGGAGTTAACTAGCCTCCTTGGGTCATCACGTTAAGAGATAGGAGTTGGCTTCAGTTCAGTGTCCTTCTTGATGTAGTTACTACACGGTTGAATGGTTCAAAATGTGAGGACACAGGGGGAAGTTTGCAGAAAGATCTTCCCAATCGTGGCCCAGCAGTCAAGCCTGCTCCTTGGGCAGCCAGTGTTACTGGTTTCTGATGAGTTCTCCATAAGCAACTTGTGCATCTAAAATCCAGCCTGAGTATATACTATATAATGTGTCTGTAGTGGACTTTGGTGTTCTGTGTTGTTTTTGTTGCCTTGAAAAAGGACCTAATTATATGATCCTCTTACCTCACTCTCCCAAGAGCTAAAATTATAGTGGACCATCGAAACCCCCTTTTTTCTTCCCGAACACCCAGATCTTACAGGAAGCTCCATGCCTTGAATGTTTCATTTAACAATACAGCCGGGAGATTATATTATGGCAATGCCTAAAGAGCTTTCCTTTCAAGCAGGGCACGGTGGCGCACGACTTGAATCCCAGCACTTGGGAGGCAGAGTCAGGCGGATCTCTGAGTTCCAGGACAGTCAGGGCTACAGAGTGAGACCCTGTCTCAAAAACCCAGGCACACAAACACAGAGCTTCCCCTCCCTTCTCTGTCTGCATGTGTCCTGCTGTGTAATATCTGCAGTGATTTATTTGCTCTGTCGGATGTCTTGCTCTCTCAGTCCACCGACTCCTTTGAGACGGGGTCTCAGCCCCAGCAGCCCTGTCTTCTCTACCCACAGCACTGGGGTTACGGACGTGTGGCTGTGCCCAGCTCGCTCTGTACATGGGGGCTAGAGGTTCACTCGGGTCCTCGGGCCTGTGCACCAAGCACGCTCTTAGTCAGTGAGCGCCTTCCCAGCCCCGTGTGTGAGTTCTTAGATACCTGTTCACTAGTACTAGAGAGGATCAAGTTTCCAAGTGGAGACTCACTCTGGTCCCTGCCTGCTCTAGACATCCGGGAACTGATCGAGGTGGATGACGTGATGGAGGACGATTCTCTGCGGTTTGGTCCCAACGGAGGATTGGTGTTCTGCATGGAGTACTTTGCCAACAACTTTGACTGGCTGGAGAACTGTCTGGGCCACGTTGAGGATGACTACATCCTTTTTGACTGTCCAGGTACATCAGCCACTTGAATGTGCTGTCTGCCCTGAAGCCCCAGTGCTGTGTCCTCGTGGGAACAGTGGTTAATGGCTGCACTGAGGGACCCAGTTGGCTTCAGTTTATCCCCTGAGTTCATCACATGCTTACTGAGAACAACCTTAAGAGTAAGGGAGCCAGCCGGGCGGTGGTGACACACGACTTTAATCCCAGCACTCGGGAGGCAGAGGCAGGCGGATCTCTGTGAGTTCGAGGCCAGCCTGGTCTCCAAAGCGAGTTCCAGGAAAGGCGCAAAACTACAGAGAAACCCTGTCTCAAAAAACAAACAAACAAACAAAAAGAATAAGGAAGCCAAGGCCAGTACCATGGAGCTTAGGGACCTGTGGCAAACAGGATAAAGAAAGTCACCCCGTGATTAATATTTGTGGCAGGTGACTCCCAGAAGGAGCATAGACCGTTGTGCAGAAGGGTTCAGGAAGTTACGGGTCGGTTGTCCTGTAAGCTCGGCTGTAACGAAGCTGAGCTGTGCAGGCAGAGGGCTGAAGACAAGGAGCCGTAGGCGGGCGATCGGAGGTCAGGGTGGCTGGGCGCCGCGAGCTGAGGTGTTGTGAGGAGGAACTGGTGGGGGGAGGGAACTTGGAGCCGCCCAGCTTCCCAAGGGCAAGTGTGAACTTGGGGCCTGACCAGCTTGCTCACCTGTGGCTGTCTGTCTGTCTGTCTGTCTGTCTCTCTCTCTCTCTCTCTCTCTCTCTCTCTCTCTCTCTCTCTCTCTCTCTCTCTTTTCTGAGACAGAAATGAGACATACATTTCTCTATGTAGTTTTGGAGCCTGTCCTGGATCTCCCTCTGTAGACCAGGCTGGCCTCGAACTCACAGAGATCCGCCTGGCTTCACTTGCTTTCTTTCTCTTTTAATTAAACGCATGGACTCCACAGAAAAGTACGTGTGGTGTGGGTGCTTGTGGGTGTGACTATTCCCAAGCTGCACACCCATCTGTGCTGGGATTTTTGTTTTTCTGTGCCGAGGGTTGAACCCAGGGCTGGGACATGTCAGGGAGGCAGTCTGCCGCACGTCCCATCCCCAGCCTGGCAAAAGCTGAGTTGTAGAAATGGATGCTGAGTGCAGAGCATGAGGAGGGCTCAGAGGTTAAAAGCACTGGCTCTTCCAGAGGACCTGAGTTCGGTTCCCAGCACCTATGCCGGGTGGCTGACAATTTGTGTAACTTCAGATCGATACCTGTTCTGGCCTCCACAGGCGCCTGCAAACACCTGACATACAGACATACATAGATCAAAATGATAAAGCTCTTTCAGGAAAAAAAATCTAGAAAAAGAAAACTCAAAGGAAAAGCAAAACAAAACTGAATGCAGAGTCAGAGGGGACGGTGCAGTCACAGAGTACTCGCCTAGCCTGCTCAAGGCCGCAGTTCAGTCCCCAGCATCACAGACAAGACAAAGCAAAACACCTGGACGTCGTAGCAGGATCTGACTTCCTTCTCTCTGCAGTAGTGGGGCTTCACACACACTAGACACGCATCATACCACTGTGTGCCCCTTCCCCCTTTACACCGTCTCTGTAGCATCCTGTGTGAACACGTGCTGCGGTAACCGGGAGCATCCCGTGTGTACGTGAGCATCCCATGTGTACATACATGTGTTGCAGTAACAGCGAGCATCCCATATGTACATGTGCAGCGGTAATTGGGAGCATCCCGTGTGTACATGAGCATCCCATGTGTACATACATGTGCTGTGGTAACCGAGAACATCCCATGTGTACACGTGCTGCGGTAACCTGGTTCCTGACTGCATTCTGGCGCTCTCCCTGCAGGTCAGATCGAGCTGTACACACACCTGCCTGTGATGAAGCAGCTGGTCCAGCAGCTTGAGCAGTGGGAGTTCCGGGTGTGCGGAGTGTTCCTGGTGGATTCTCAGTTCATGGTGGAGTCTTTCAAGGTCTGAGGATGAATCTCTTGTAGATTTTTCAGTCCTGGATAGAAAACAAGTGACAGTCTCTGCTAACTCTTTGTGAGTCTGGACATTTCACAGGCTGTTCTGTTTATTTAGTATTTCCAGTGACCAGATTATTATGTGAATATATACTTAACTGGAAAATAGATTTGAGCTGAACCTGGTGACACATGCCTTTAAATCCCAGCACTCAGGAGACAGAGGCAGGTGGATCTCTGTGAGTTCCAGGCCAGCTGGAGCTCCCTGTCTCAAAAATATATATAAAAAATACATTTGAGAGAACTGCTTAGGAAATAAAAATTGAGGCAAATGAGCTCTGTATTAGATAAGTGTATTTTAAAATATTCAATTGGGGAGGAGGGAGAGGAAACTGCAATTGGGATGTAAAAATGAGAGAAGAATTAAAAAAAAAAAAAGAAAGAAATACTGGGGGCTGAAGAGATGGCCCAGAGGTTAAGAGCACTGACTGCTCTTCCAGAGGTCCTGAGTTCAATTCCCAGCAACCACATGGTGGCTCACAACCATCTATAATGGGACACATGTAGGCAGAACACTGTATACATAATAAATAAATCTTTAAAAAAACAAAAAAGCCGGGCGGTGGTGGCGCATGCCTTTAATCCCAGCACTCAGGAGGCAGAGGCAGGCGGATCTCTGTGGGTTTGAGGCCAGCCTGGGGTCTATAGAGTGAGTTCCAGGACAGCCAGGACTGTTATACAGAGAAACCCTGTCTCACCACCCCCCCCCACAAAAAAAAAAGAAAGAAACACATCTTCTTGTCTTGTAAAAACATGGCATGTGTTTCAAAAAAAAAAACTGAGCTGGGTATGTGGTTCACGCCTGCAATCCCAGCACTCAGGACGCTGCAACAGGAGAGTTGCTGCAAGTACAGAACTAGCCTGGGCTACAAAATAAAAGTGTCTCACATATAAAGATTAAAATAAACAAAAAAAAAAAATCTAATTTTAATTTTCTGAGGACCTTTTGTCCAGTTTAGGAGTTATAGACTCAGTTTTGTCAGTAGTCCTGAGGGATGTTAGTGTGAAAGAAGGCCAATGTCATGGTAAAGGTCAAGAAATGTGATCAGGGGCTGGAGAGATGGCTCAATGGTTAAGAGCACTGACTGTTGCAGAGACCTGAGTTCAATTCCCAGCACCCACATGGTGGCTCACAGCTGTCTGTAACTCCAGTTCCAGGGGGCCAGACACCCTCACTCAGATATACATGCAGGCAAAACACCAATGCACACAAAAAAATAAATAAGAAAGAAATGTCATCAATGTAGATTGATTCATTGATGGATTTGGGATAGTCTTTATTTGTAGCAAAGGCTGGCCCAGAACTTGATCTCCACCTGCTCAGCTGGGATTAAAGGCCTGCCACACCCCGCTGGTCATGTAAATGAAGTCACATCTTCACTGTCCCTTTTTAGCAGGATTAGTACCCTGGGTCATGTGCCCGTATCCTCCCAGTGAGCCGGTGTGCTCTTGTTGCCTATCCTTCATCTTTTCTGCTTTCTTTTCTTCTCCAGTTTATTTCTGGCATCCTGGCAGCTCTAAGTGCCATGATTTCTCTAGAGATCCCACAAGTTAACATCATGACGAAGATGGACCTGCTCAGTAAGAAAGCCAAGAAAGAAATTGAGAAGTGAGTCGGGGCCATTTGTCCCCAGCGGGGCGCTGTGTGGGACGAGCCTTCTGCACGACTGAGACGGGCCCTGGGGTGTCGGTCTCTTCCCTCATGTGGTCCCCCTTTCCTTGCCTCCCTTCTCACCTTCAAAGGTTTCTAGATCCAGACATGTACTCTCTGCTAGAAGATTCAACAGGTGACTTAAGAAGCCAAAAATTCAAGAAGCTGACACAAGCTGTGTGTGGCCTGGTAAGCCTCAGCAGTGGCTCCTTTTAGACCTTCTGGAATGGCTCCTCGAGAGTCTGCCCACAACCAGCTAGTGTCCACCTGTGTGGGCAACAGTCCAACTCTGTCCCTACAGAAAGCAGGTGGGTGGGGAGGCACTTGACTTGTTAGTTCAGACAGACCCTTGACAGCTCAGAGCTGTTTGAGCCTTCACACTTCCCCCATGTCAGCGAATGTGGACTTGAGATGGTACCAGCGAAAGAGCCTTTAATCCCAGCACTTGGGAGGCAGAGGCAGGCAGATCTCTGAGTTCAAGGCTAGCTGTGTCTACAGAGTGAGATCCAGGACAGCCAGAGAGCTACATAAACTTTTGTTTGTTTGTTTGTTTTGGTTTTGGTTTTTTTTTTCCGAGACAGGGTTTCTCTGTGTAGTTTTGGTGCCTGTCCTGGAACTCACTCTGTAGACCAGGCTGGCCTCAAACTCACAGAGATCCGCCTGCCTCTGCCTCCCGAGTACTGGGATTAAAGGTGTACGCCATCACCACTCAGTGAGAAACCTTGCAAAATCAAAAACAGAAAACAAAAACCATAGACCCCAGATGGAAACCATAAGCTGCACCCTCAGAGTGACCCTGTCTTGACACCCCCCCCCCCAGATCGATGACTACAGCATGGTTCGGTTCCTGCCGTATGATCAGTCGGATGAGGAGAGCATGAACATTGTGCTCCAGCACATCGATTTTGCCATTCAGTATGGGGAGGACTTGGAGTTTAAAGAGCCAAAGGTAGCTTGGGATTCGGGATGTGAACTCTCTCCAGAGGTCCCCCGAGAGGAGGGAATTCATCTTCTGTTCTGTGTTTCTTTTATGTCAGGAACAGGAAGAAGAGTCTTCCTCCATGTTTGATGAATATTTTCAAGAACGGCAGAATGAGTGAGGTTGACTACACGGTGACCATCTATCTGATTGTGGCCACTCAGAACACTCTTCTGGAGGAGGTGACCATGGGAAGACGCTGCTTGTTTTAATGTAAACAACACTGGGCTCCCCCTGGAGTGAGCCAGATTGTGCGCTGAGCTCTGGGACTGCTGCTTTCAGAGATTTTATTCTGACAGCGTCATTTTGGATTTAAAAATATCAAAGTAGCAATTCATACACAAAGACTTGTATATAATATAAATCAATCTACCCCCACATATCTCTCCCGCACGTGCGTGCGTGCGTGCGTGCGTGCGTGCGTGCGTGCGTGCGTGCGTGCGTGCGTGCGTATGTGTGTACAATTAGGGCCAGTCTAACTTTATTTTTATGGTTGGTTTTTTTTGTTTGTTTGTTTGTTTTTTGAGGTGTTTTCTTTGGATTGATTTGTTTGTTTTTGGAGAGGTATAATTATTGTAACAAAAAACATATCTCCATTCAAATGAAAAAAATCAGAAGGCTATACATAAATCTTATTTTCCCAAACCAAACATGTATTATTTATATAATTAAAAATTAAAACCATGTTTTGAGATTTGTATGTATGAATGTATGTGTTGGATAGAAACAGGTCCTCCTTTTTTTGTTGAGTTTTTTGTTTGTTTGGTTTTGGTTTTTGGTTTTTTGTTTGTTTGTTTGTTTGTTTGTTTATTTGTTTTTGAGACAGAGTTTCTTGGTGTAGCTGGAGCTCTCTGTTTCTCTGGCTGTCCTGGAACTCATTCTTTAGACCATGCTGATCTTGGAACTCAGAGATCTGCCTGCCTCTGCCTCCTGAGTGCTGGGATTAAAGGCCTGTGCCACCTCGCCTGGCCAGAAAAACTCGTCTTTAAACAGGCTAATTTCCCCAAGGGTCAGAATGTAGGCTGCGACTGTTTGGAAGTATCATGTGTATCTGTAGGCATGGTGGCTCATACCTGAAGTCCTAGCATTCGGGAGTCTGAGGTAGGAAGATTGCCTTGAGGCTAAGTCTGGCCTGGACTTCATAGTAAGACCCTGTTTCAAAAAACAAAGAAATAAATCAAACAAATTTGGTTTGTAGTCTCTGACAGTTTAAAGCTTAGATATTCCGTGTATAGTGTATATCCTAAATGAGAAGAAATATTTTTTTCTCTTTTAACGTACTGTCACATTGAATTGTGTTCAGCTTTTCAGAGTCCTTTGGTGGCAGGTGGGATGAAGGTTATGGGGAGCAGCCAGCTGGACGATTTTGCTCCAGCATCCCTCAAAGGTCAAGCTCTGGCCTGATGGTGGTGTCACACGCCTTTAATTCCAGCACTTGGGAGGCAGAGGCAGGTGGATCTCTGTGAGTTCGAGGCCAGCCTGGGCTACAGAGTAAGTTCCAGGAAAGGCTCCAAAGCTACACAGAAATCCTGCCTCAAAAACAAAACAACAACAAAAAAGGTCAAGCTCTGGCAGAATGAGGCTCAATCTCATTGGGTCCTGTTAGACATTACATTACAGAGCATGTTACATCGTTTCTTTTGTTGAGTCCTTACAACAAGGCCCAAGATTCCTCTAGTTATTTGGTGACCAATCTTCCTGCTGATTGGTGGAAGGAGAGAGCCAATCTGAAAAAGTTGCCTTCTGATCTCCATATGAGCTTACACTCATCAAATAATTAAAAATGTAATATTCTAGGCATGTAAAATCTTTTTGTTTTTGTTGTTTTGTTTTCCAGACAGGGTTTCTCTGTGTAACAACCCTGGCTGTCCTGGAACTCACTCTGTAGACCAGGCTGGCCTCAAACTCACAGAGATCCGCCTGCCTCTGCCTCCACAGTGCTGAGAAAAAGGCATGTGCCAACATTGCCTGGTTTAGGCATGTAAATTCTAAACACTTTCTTTGTATCTCATTTCAGCCTTCTAAATACTGTGCTCTCCATATTTAGGTGAGGAACGGAGGCACAGAGAGATGAATTAACTTGCCCAGAATTACACTGCTAGTCATGTTGGAACTAGGATTCGAACCTGGAACCGATTTACTTCAACTGTTACATAAAGAATGGCAGGTCAAGGCAGGCATGGTATGTACCTAAAAACTTGTGGTGAGGCCAGCCTGGGCTACGTAGTTAGGATTTTGTCTCAAAACATAAAATGTGGGGCGCTGGAGAGATCTCTGCTCAGAGGTTAGGAGCACTGGCTGCTCTTCCAGAGGACCTGGGTTCAATTCCCAGCAACCACATGGTGGCTCACAACAATCTACAATGAGATCTGGTGTCCTCTTCTGGCCTGTAGGGACACATGCAGGCAGAACACTGTATACATCATAAATAAATAAATCTTAAAAAAAAAAAAAAAATGTGGTTGGTGGGTGTGGTGGTAGCATATACCCTTAATTTTTTTTTAAGATTTATTTATTCATTTATTTATTTATTATGAACACAGAAGAGGGCACCAGATCTCATTACAGATGGCTGTGAGCCACCATGTGGTTGCTGGGAATTGAACTCAGGAACTCTGGAAGAGCAGTCAGTGCTCTTAACCTCTGAGCCATCTCTCCAGCCCCCATACCCTTAATACCCTTAATTTGAATACTTGGGAGGCATAGGCAGGTGGATCTCAGTTCAAGGCTAGCCTGATCTTCAAAGCAAGCTCCAGGTCAGCCAGGGCTACACAGTAAGAGTCTCAAGAAAAAAAAAAAATTTATATATATAGTGGGTGTGAGTGGTGGGTTTGTCTCATCCTTGCAGACATGTGATATCACTCTGGCCCTTACAATACACTTGGTTTTCATGGCCACTTAGTCCTTGCTATGACAGGGGAAGACATACACCATACCTTGTTGAAAGAGTGGGAATGATATAGGCTACACATTTTGTGGGTGACAGACAGGCCAAGGTTTAGGCCCAGGAGTTTTCTGCCCTTTACCCCCATGGCGGTCCCTGACTGTCTCCAAGTAACAAGGGAGATAGGAACATCACAAGTAAACATCATAAAACTCCGCAAAAACCCAGGAGTGATGGAAACCACAATGCCAGAATAAAGGTATACAGTGGCAGCGGATGGATCATAAATTCAGGATACATATATATCCAGTTTGAGCCCGGCCTGGACGTCATAAGCCTCTCAAGAAAATCAGTGCGGCTGAGATGGCTCAGTGTGTCAAGGTTCCAGAGTTCGAGCCCCAGAGTCCCCATGGTGGAAAGTTAGACCTGATTTCTACTTCCCCACGTGGACCGTGGTAAAAATAAAAAGAACTAGACATGGCAGAAGGGTGAACCAGGGAACTGAGTGCTCCTGGATTTGAAACTGACGCTGGGGGTGATTATTAACCTCTCAGGGTCGCTTCAATCACAAAGCCCAACCTTTCTCTGCGCCCGTTTTACGCATGCGCTACACGCAGACCCTAATGCTCGCGCTCCCCCTGGCGTCCCTTCCGATCAGCTCAGCCGCAGCAACCAGGGGCGGAAGCTAGGCCGGAAGTGCATCTCCTCGCTTCGCCCGCCTCTTCCGGCTCACTTCCGCCCACTCCACCCAGGCAGCTGGCCGGAAGCGTTCCGCGTTACCTGGGTCCTGCTTCTCTGGATCGAGTCCGGACACCGCCTAACCGCCAAAATGCCGGTAAGGCTTCGAGCCCAGAGGGCGGGGAGCCGAGCGGGGCCGGGGCCCGAGGAGAGGCGGGAGGCCCGCGCTGGGAGGTCGGGGGGAGAGCAAACCGCCGCCCTGCTCTGCAGCCCCGGTCCTTTGCCTCCAGCCTCAGGTCCCATGCCCGCCCCGCTGCCTTCTCCCTAGTCCCGCAGTGTTCCCGGATCCCACCCGAGAGCCCCGAAGTCAAGAACGGCGGCTTTTAATTTATTTCTAAATCTAGGGTCCAGCTTCTGTTTTTCTGTCCCCTGTCACTTCCACTTCCTCCTCCGCCCCAGGGAGTGGGTCGGCCTGCTGCTGCTAATCTCCTGTCCGGCTTCACTTCCCTGACGGACCCCTACCTCGTCCTCCCAGCTGGAGCTCCCACCACCCAGTCAGCGCTGGTTTCCAGGAGTCTCCTTTTTTGTGTGGGAGGAAAAAATGACGATGGACTGGTAGTGCTTAACGTCTGACTGCCGGTCTCCATCATGGGTTCCGTTTTGCAGATTTAGCAAAGGGGTGGTTGAATTGAAGGCCACACTGGACAAGCGTCAGTGAACTCTCACTGTGAAGCCAGCACTGTTAACAGCGGCGACTAAAGCCCCCTCCGGGAGCTTACATTTTCACGGGTAGACAATAACCGTGTGAATATAAATAGGAGGTGGTTTCAGATCTTAAATTCTATGAAGAAAATCGATAGATGACCACACTAGCCTCCCGTGGTGGCACTTACCTCTCATCCCAACACTTGGAGGCAGAATCAGGAGGATTACAAATTTCAGGCCAAAGTGGACTACATAGTGAGTTCTAGGCCAGCTTGGGCTCTACAGCTATAAAATATGGTGGGTGGGGTGGGAAGGAGGCTTGGGAAAGTGCTTGTTGTGCAAGAGGTGAGGCTGGGGGCGGGGGTGTCAGCGCCGCAGCTCATGTTTGTTCCTCCAGCCCTGGAGAGGCAAGAGACAGGCAGGTCCTCTGGGCTCATCAGCCAGCCAGTCTAGCCCCAAATCAGCAAGTTCTGGGTTCAGTGAGAGACACTGGGGGCTGAGGAAATGGCTCAGTGTTTAAGGCACAAGGACCAGAGTGTGGATGCCTAGCACCCAATTAACAGTCAGGGGAGGAAGCTCCTGTCTGGAATTCCAGAGCTGGAAGTATAGCGATCCCTGAGGCTCCTTGTCTCAAAAATAAAGTGAGAAGCAGTTGTAGAAGAGACCTCTGGCCTCCACGTGTGCATATACATATATACTTGCATGCACACATGAACACATATGCATACACTCCACACACAAGAGCTAGAAGTAATTGAGGAGGATACCCAGCATTGACTGTGCTTCACACAAACACGCATGAGTGCATGCATGTACATGTGTAAAAAGTAAAACCAATACAGTCCCCAGTGACTGTGGGGTAAGAGGCTGGCATAGATCAGGTGTACTTGTCGTGAAAAGGTGAGCAAGCGTAAGTTTGAGCTTTGTGTATGTGTTTTGGCAGCACTGGGAATTGAACCCAGAGTCTTGTGGCAGGCTACATAGATCCTCTACCACTGAGTTACATCCCTACCTCCTTTTTACCTTTGTTTTGAGAAAGGGTCTCATAAAGTTGCCCAGGCTGGCCTTGAACTTGGGATCTTCCTGTGTCTGGGACCACAGGCCTGCATCACCATGTTTAGCTTTGTAAGATTTGTGGGTCTTTGTGAGTCTTACAGTTACTGGCTATTGAGATGCATGTGGAGACCCAGAGTCACTGTCCGGATGAGCCCTTCACTCTCAGGATGTCACTGTGAAACAGATGTTCTTATTGTTAGGGTGTTGCTGAAGGAACTAAGGCTCAGGGAATTAAGTCACGTGCACAGTGTTGCTCACAAATAATAAAGCCAGAGTTTAAGCCAGGAAGGAAAGATCTGTGCTCATTCCAGTTGGGCACAGAAAGTTCTGGACTTAACCTATGATTACTTATTTTGTGCCTGCTTTCTCTATTAGTATGAAACCTCATATATATGCCTATATGTGTATGTATATATACATATATATACATACATCCATATATATGATATATATGATATATACATATATATGATCTCATATCAGGGCCTAGAGAAGTGGCCCATCAGCTGCGTGCTTGCTGCTGTTGGAAACGCATACACTCGGTGTCACACAGACACGAAGAAAGCAAAAGCAACTTCACGAAGCAGTTTCTTTTTGACAAAAAAAAAAAAAAAAAAAGATGTGCCGTGACCTGGACCCAGACTGAGCTAGCAGGCCCAACAGGGTGGATAGTTCATGTCTTTTTCATTCTCACTCAGACAGTGACTGTGTCTTTCACGACTGGCTAGTTTTAAAAGAATCTTCGCGTAGGAAATGAAGGGAAGGGGGAAGGGGCAGCCCCTTGGGACATCATGTTCGGGCAGCACAGCAGTGCCTTTGGATAACAGAAGTGTGCAAGGGCTGGAGAGATGGCTCAGCGGTTAGAGCACTGGCTGCTCTTCCAGAGGTCCCGAGTTCAATTCCCAGCAACCACATGGCGGCTCACAACCATCAGCCATCTATAATGGGATCTGATGCCCTCTTCTGGCGTGCACTCATACATCAAATACATAAATACATTTTAAAATGTTTTAAATGTGCACAAAAGTTATACTAGGGCAGAGTGGCTCTTGCAGGGCTAGCCACCGTTGATAGGGAAAGCCCCATCCTCACACTGCTCTCGGGGAGCACTAGAATCTTGTCCCAGCATCCATATCCAGCAGCTCACAGCTGCCTCTGATTCCAGCTCCTGGGAACGTGACACCCACTTCTGGACTCTGTAGTCACTGTATACACATAGAAATCCCCATACACAGGTACAACACATAATTTTTTTTTTGTTTTTGTCTTTTTAAGACAGGGTTTCTCTATGTAGCCCTGGTTATCCGGGAACTCACTCTGTGGACCAGGCTGGCCTCGAACTCACAGAGCTCTACCTGCCTCTGCTTCCCTGGTTTTAGGATTAAAGGTGTGCATCACCACCACCTGGCCAATTACGCTGTCGCTCATTATCTCTTGCACAGAAAAAGGTGTTTGGCAATCATTTGATGAATGAATGAACGGTTTTGTTCACAGCAGACATAAAAGAAAAAACTAGGAACCGGCATATAGGGTTTTTCATCAGTACGATTTTCCCTGACCTTTAGTTCACACCTACTCACCAAAGGTGTAGTGTGTCTTACTCATTTTACAAGCTTAGAAACAGGCTAGTGGGATTGCGGTAGAGCTTAGTTGGTAGAGCTCTTGCCTGAAGCCAACACTGGTTCTCTAGACCTGTCTTGCCAGCACTGGGGAGGCAGAGGCAGGAGGATACCTTCCAAGTCATCCTCAACTACATAGTAAGTGAGAGGCCAGCCTGGGCTACATGAAACCCTCTTGGGGTTGAAGGGGGTGGGGGGTGGGGAAACAGATTCAGGGAAGAAGCATGCAGTCTTGATTGGAGACATAAAGACAGGAAGTGGCCGATTCCAAAACTAGGGCTTGCATCCTGGCTAGCTGGAGGCTGGGAAACCTGTTTTGTGTGGTTTCTGTAGTGGAATGCGCCCACCAGAAGGAAACAGCACTCCACACCACATTTCCAGCCTGAGGATGTGTTCCCAGGAGGCAGAGGCGGGCGGATCTCTGTGAGCCTGAGGTCAGCTTGGTCTCCTTAGGGAGTCCCAGGCCAGGCTGGGCTGCTCAGTGAGTGCCTGTCTCAAGAAGAGCCGGGGCTGGGGAGAAGGTTCAGTTGGTAAAGTGCCTGCCACTCAAGTATGATATCTCCCAGGCTCCACAACAATAGCCAGATGTGGTGGTGTGTGCCCGTAAACCTGAGCTGGGGCGGGAAGACAGGAGGGACTCTGAGGGGCCTGCTGGCCGGCCATCTGGCCAGTAGGTGACCTTTAGGTTCAGTGAGACCCCCTGTCTCAAATGTAAAGGTGGGGAAGTAATTGAGGAAGACACTTGACACAGACTTCTGACCTCTGCACCCACACACATGTGTACCCACACACATGTGCACCCAGACCCATGAAGACAAACACACAAAATACTAATAGCATAGAAGAGAATGTTAAGAACATAGACAGCAGGGCTGGAGAGAAGGCTCAGTGGTTAAGAGCACTGGCTGCTCTTCCAGAGGACCCAGGTTCGTTCGATTCCCAGCAACCACATGGCAGCTCACAGCTGTCTGTAACTCCAGTTCTAGGGGATCTGACACCCTCACACAGACATGAATGCAGGCAAAAATACAAGTGCAGGTGAAATAAAATTAAATTATTTTTTTAAAAAAAGGAAGAAAGAAATAGACAGTAAAGCCAGATGTAGTGGCACACACCTTTAATCCCAGCACCCAGCACTTGGGAAGCAGAGGCAGGTGGATCTCTGTGAGTTCTGGGCTAGCCTGGTCTACAGAGCGAGTTCCAGGACAGCCAGAGCTACATAGTGAGACCCTGTCTTGAAAAAAACAAAACAAAAAGGAACATAGACAACAGTTAGCTGTAGTTTTGTCAGTGGTGAAGCAGGGGTACTAACTCCCTCTGTGGCGCACGTCTGATTTAGTCAGGGGGCGTGGCTTGCTTAGCGACCAGCTGACAGACGTCCCCGGATCTGCCGGTTGGCTTTCTTGAGGCAGGGGCTGGTGGCATTGCCTCTGCCCCCCTCTCCTCCCGGAGTTGGTCTCAAGTGGAGTCTCCTCTGGAGGACCGGCCTCGTCGCCCGGTGACGCGTGTTCTCTTTCTCCCCTGTCTTGTCACCGCAGGCTTACCACTCCTCCCTCATGGACCCTGACACGAAGCTCATCGGAAACATGGCCCTGCTGCCCCTCAGAAGTCAGTTCAAAGGACCCGCCCCTCGAGAGAGTGAGTCTCAGTGTTCTGTTCCGGTCGGGTTCAAACGGTCCAGCCACGCTGCTGAGGTGGGAGCAGGGCAGAGCCTCGCTGGGTCCTGGGTCGCTTGCACTACTCTGCCGGGTGTGACACTTTACACCTCGAGACATCACAGGAAACTGCCCTGTCACTTCTGACTCCTTCAGGATGCCTGGGTGAACCAAAGAGGAAATGTGGCCTGGGGGCGGGGGGCGGTAGCTCGGTAGGGAGAGACCTTGCCTTGCATGCAGGAGGCCCCGGGTTCCATCCCCGGTTCACCCTGAGCCAGGTGTTGTGGTGCACATCTGTAACCCTAGCACTTAGGTGGAGGCAGGGAGAGCTCAAGTTCAAAGTCATCCTCAGCAAGTTGCAGGCCAACCTGGGCTACAGGAGACCCTGTCAGCAGAGAGGAAGAGGAAGTGTGTTTAATTCTGGCCGCGGTCACTGTCAGTCAGGTCAGACTAACTGAGTGCCGGGTCGTCATGCTGGAAACAGACAAGCAGCAGAAAGCATTCTGTGGCCATGGTGCTCTACGCAGGAGGCTGTGATGGGGGTGGCTGGAGTCTGGCAGTTCAAGACCAGCCTAAGCAACACAGGGAGACCTGTCTCCAAAACCAGGAAAAATTAACCCTTCCCCCACCAAAGCTATTACTTCTCCTGTCAACTTTTCAAAGACAGTCATTTGCCTTGGGCTGTGCATGTTTGTGTGTGAGGGCCGACGCGTGCCCCAGCACACACACCCCCAGCACACACACCCCCAGCACACACACAAGTGGACGTGAGAAGATGATGCATCACTTCCGGTTTTGACATTAGTCCGGGGATCCCCGCTCAGGTGGTCCAGCCTTCCCTGCAGCGCTCTGACCCTCTGAGCCATCGGATTGGCACAGCCCTGCGGTGTCCTAGCCTTGGGGCCCTGATTTTCACCGAACCCCAGTGTTAGACCCTTTTTTGGATACCTCAGAAGAGGGTGAAACCGATGGGCCTGAAGTCAGACAAGCCAGCCTCGGTTTGTGGGGACCCTCCTGGTGACCCCCGCCTGCTTCCCCAGTGTTGGGGTGACAGGCATGTGCCCCACGCTGCAATCCTAACTCTCCATGAGCTTTGAAGCTGCTTGTTTCTGTTCGTGCTTTGGTTCTTCTGAACGTCATTGCTTTGCTCTAGTGGTGCTTTTGTTGTTTGTTTTAACTGGCTTCGTTTTGGTGGTGGTGGATTGTTTTGTTTTCTTTTTCTTTTTCTTTTTTTTAAATTTTGCTTTTAAACCAAAACCAAAAAGAGCTGGTTTAAAGAAGCCACTCAGACCCTTGCCCAGTCTCCGACTCTGTCCATCTCTGTGACCTGTGTGGCTAGGTTGGCCATTCTGAAGCCGCAGAGCTTCACTTTTAGTATGGACAGAGCTGAAAATGGAAAAACTAGCTTTATGTCCTCTTGCCCTTATTCATTCATTCATTCATTTTCGAGACAGGGTTTCTCTGTGTAGCTTTGGCACTCTTCCTGGAATTCACTCTGTAGACCAGGCTGGCCTCGAACTCACAGAGATCCGCCTGCCTCTGCCTCCCAAGTGCTGGGATTAAAGGCGTGTGCCACCACCGCCCGGCTCCTCTTGCCCTTTTACACATATTCTGTCCTTCCTTGTCACCTGATGTCACTGTTTCTTGGTCTCCTTTGTAGATGTTAACACTGTGCACACACTTACGCCTGCTTGTATGAGTATGTGGCTAGGATTCTTGTACAGGGCATATGGGGAGATCATGCGTTCTTTTTTTGTTTGGAGTTTGGATCATCTTGATTAATATTTACTTTTCAAGTCCATCCACTTTATTTATTTTTCTTTTATGTGGTGTGTGTTTGCATCTACCAAAACCAGAAGAGGGCGATAGATTCCCTAGAACTGGAGTTAGAGGTGGTTGTGAGCCAGTGTGAGTGCTAGGAACTGAACTTGGATCCTCTGAAGAGCAGCAGTGCTTTTAACTGCTGAGCCATCTCTTCAGCCCATGATTTTGTTTGTTTTTTGGTTTTTGTTTGTTTGTTTGTTTGTTTTTCAAGACAGGGTCTCTGTGTAGTTCTGGCTGTCTTTTAACTCACTCTGTAGACCAGGCTGGTCTTGAACTCATGGAGATCTGCCTACTTCTGCCTCCCGAGTGCTGGGATTGAAGGCGTGCGCCACCACGACCTGGTTGTATTATAATTTTTGATACTCGATCTCAGCTTTGTTTCCCAGTCTGGTCTGAGGCTCCTGAATTTTGGGGCCACACAGCGTATTCCCTGTTCGTTGTTTGTCATCATCAGATAGAATGCCCTCTACCCCCACTACTCTCCAGATCCCCCATTTGATTTTGGAGGCAGTTTTTCACTGTTCCAGAAGCCTCTTTTCAAACCTGAAGCTTTCTGACGTGTTCTGAGATGTTCCGCCAACGGTGTCATTTCTGTGGCCGTAGACACAGCACCCCAGAGCCTGCAAATGTCTGGCCCGTGCTCCATTCAGTTTCCATGACCACAGTTACAATTCCCAGCTGTGTCCTCATCCCTGCCCTTCCTCTGCCGGCTTGTTCTCCTTGACCCGCTCTTAGGTGAATTCGTTGTCAACACTGGTTGAAACATAAGTAAACTCAATGGATTTGGCAAGTCCCTACAGTTTTTACTTGATTCTGAGAAAAAGGAGCAGATGGACAAAGACAGACGTGAGGAGAACAGCCGTACTAAAAAGTTAACAGCCCCCCCAAAAAAAGAACGTTGGCCCAGAACGCGGAAGAGCCAATTGTCGTATAGTTACAGATAGCACAGTGCACCCGCAGACACAGCCACCCCAGAACGGAGAAAACAGGAACCACCTTCGAAGTTCCTCAAGGAGGAATGAGACCCTGAGAAACTGAACAAAGGAGGTAGACTGACCTCATTTCCCAGAGGGGCTGGAACTGTTGTCGTGGATGTCTGTGTTGTGAATCAATTGTCTTAGCATTGATGAGATGAATTCTGGGGCAGAGGGAGGGCCCTGTGCATAGCGTGTCTGAGGCCTGGGGTTTAAGATCACCTGCAGAAAACTTCTCCTCTGTCGTCAAATGTCTTGAGATGGCTTTGTGTGCCCCGCCCTGTTCGAGGCCCCTTCTCCTCCGCCGTCTCCTCCCAGGTGCTCACAAGTTTCCTCTTACTGAGAGCAGAGAACAGAGCGCACAGCGTCTAGAGTACAATTCCGCAGGGACCCTCCAGCAGAGGAACTGGCCAGGTCATGGGACAGTCGCCCAGGGCTGCACCCTCGGGCCGCTCCGCCTTGCACCGTTCGAGAACATGGCAGCCGGGGACAGGAAGTGTCAGAGCTGCTGCTGCAGCTAGCTGCTGGCCGTCAAACCTGGAAAGTCTGTCCTGTCAAAATGAAAAAGAGCGGAGATTGCCAAAGCAATTGTTGGACAAGGTCTGTGTTTGTCACAGAGTGCTTCTGGCTTTCCTCAGCGTGCAGCCACTTAGAACAGCTCATGCTGTGTTTAAGCCACAGTTTCCATAAAAAGAAAGAAAGTCATCTGAACCCCAGTGTTCCCAAATAATTGGAGTATTTGCCCTGAAACTACAGCGTGTGGGTTCAAATACAATTATATTGAATGCTTTTTTTCATTTTCAGAGCCCTTAGTTAGACTTTTGGGGCTGGAGGGATGGCTCAGTGGTAAGGAGCACTTCCTGCTCCTCCAGAGGACAGAGTTCCATTCCCAGCACCCACACTGGCCTCACAATCACCTGTAACTCCAGCTCCAAGGGATGTGACGCCCTCTTCTGACCTTTGTGCACATCTGTACTCATACGCAAACACAGACACACACAGGTTTTTTTGTTTTTTTTTTTAAGGGAGTTAGCCTGTGTCTCAGCCCATTTCTGTAAGTGCATCGAGGTCTTAACTGGTTACTGAATAGCAATAATAGTTTGTTCTGGGTGATAAGTCTTAATTAAGATGATAATCTTTTTTTTTAATTGATTTAGTTTTTCTAATGAGCACATATGATTTTTTCAGAGATAATAAAACTAAAAATAAGCCACATTGGTTTTTGGAAATAGCGTTGAAGACTGTATTTCAGTAGCTCTGTTTATTTTTCTAAGTTTTATTTTTATTTTTTACATCAGTGTTTTTGCCTGGCGCCCTTTGAGGCCAGAAGAGGGCGCCAGATCCCCAGGAACTAACCCAGGTCCTCTGCAAGGGCAGCCCGTGCTCTTAAGGGCAGAGCCATCTCTCCAGATAGCCCCAGCCACATTCTACTTTATCCACCTCCAGATCTTGGGATAATTACGCTTGGAGACCCCTCCTTACAGCTTCTGTGGGTGGGTGGTTTGCCTTTGGTAATATCTCTGCCTTCCTCCTTGTTTCCTGCTTAGCAAAAGACACAGATATTGTGGATGAAGCCATCTATTACTTCAAGGCCAACGTCTTCTTCAAGAACTATGAAATTAAGGTAACTTCCAGAGATGGGGATGCATAGTTTTCAGACGGGGATAAATATCTGCCTCAAGCCAGGTGGTGGTGGTGCATGCCTTTAAACCCAGCACCCAGGAAGCAAGGGCAGGAGGATCTCTGTGAGTTCCAGGCCAGCCTAGTTTACAGAGCGAGTTCCAGGACAGCCAGGGCTGCACAGAAAAACCCTGTCTCGAAAAACAAAAACAAAACAAAACAAAAAAACATCTACTTTGAAGTCAGGGTGCTGTAAAGGTTAAATGAAATGGTGTGTCTACTTTTAGAATTTGAAAACAAGGCTGGATGGGAAATGCTGTAGGGTTTTGTTGTTGTTGTTTTGAGATTATTTATTTTAGGTTGAGCATGGGTGCGCAAATCTTTAATCCCAGCACTTGGGAGGCAGAGGCAAGTAGATCTGTGTGAATTGGAGGGCAGCCTGATCTATATCGTGAGTTCCAAGACAGCCAGGGCTCTGTAGAGAGACCCTGTCTCAAAAAAAAAAAAATTATTTATTTATTTATTTATTTATTTATTTATTTATTTATTGGTGTGTGTGTGTGTGTGTGTGTGTGTGTGTGCAGTGCCCTTAGGGGCCAGAAGAGGGAGCTGGGAGTTGAGTCCCTTGTAACTCCAGTTAGAAATGACTGTGTGTGTGTGTTCTGGGAACAAGCCCAGGTCTGGGAAAAAGCAGTTGCTCTTAACCACAGAGCGCTCACCCCAGTCCTGTGTTAGCTTTTATTCTTTCCGAATCCTTACTGCTCTGAGGCAGAATGACCCACTGCCTCTCTTTGCAAATAAATGTCGTGGGACACAGCCGCGTCCATTTCTTTCTGGATTAGCAGTGGCTGCTCTCATACTGAACTTATTGATCGGCCACAACAGAGACTGCCTGAGCCACAAAGCCCGAGAAGCTTGTTATCCAGCCTTGACAGAGTTTGCCAAGCCCCAGTCTAGATGCATCTGTGTTTACTTAGGTATTGATTAAGCACCCAGGAAGTGCCAGGCCCAATTTATGGATAACCGGTCAAAAGTCTCGTATGCTATTTGTTCATTGGCTTTGAGACAGAGTTTTACTATGTAGCCCTGGCTGGAACTTGTTATATAGGCCACGCTGGTCTGGAACTTAGGGTAATCCCCCTGCCTCTGCCTCCCATCACTTTTTTGTATGTATGCAGGTTGGACACTGAGAATAAATTGCTGTCATTCCAGCACTTGGGAAGCTAAGGCAAGAGGATTGTTGTGAGTTTCAGGCTGGAACTGTGTTTCAAAAAAAGTACAAGCAATACCCTCTCTCCCTACTCTAAAAGGCAAACAAGCAGGGCAGTGGTGGCGCACGCCTTTAATCCCAGCACTTGGGAGGCAGAGCCAGGTGGATATTTGTGAGTTCGAGGCCAGCCTGGGCTACAGAGTGAGATCCAGGAAAGGCACAAAGCTACACAGAGAAACCCTGTCTCAAAAAATAAATAAATAAAAGGCAAACAAGCCTGAAATGCTCTAGACCCCTAAGCTACAAACTGGATTTTGGAGTGTTTTGGATTCAGGAAGTTTAACTAATGAAGTCTGTGCAGATATTTCCAAATCGAGACCACGCCGCTTCTGGAAGACTTCTGGTCCCAAGCATTTCAGAGGGGTGGTCTACTGCACCGCTGTGTCGTGGACCCAGCTGGGATGGGGGGACGGGACATGAATGGCGGGCCCTTCCTGGGACCACTTCCTCCCTCACCTCCCTGTGAGGAGGGTGGGCAAGGGGAGAGTAGAGAGCCTGCCTGTGAAGGGGACAGATGCACGAAACATCTGCTGAGCCACCGAGATGAGCACAAAGAAGGGCAAGGAATGTTCTCGACAGCGTTGTAAAGGATGAGACTTAGGCCTCTGCTCGCTCAGCTCTGGGATATCAAGCTCCAGCAGGATGTGGACTCCGTCCAGCGCTGACAGCGTTTCTGTAGCCAACAGGCAGCTTGTGCCGGCTTTGTGAGAGGTGTGATAGGGACAAGCTGGGTGTAGCATCCGCCTGTAAGGAGCCAGAGGCTGGGGGTTGTCCAAGGGTTAGAGGCCAGTCAGGGCTGTGAAGCAGAGAGCCCAGCTCAGATCAAAACAGAGCATGGGGGGCACGTGTGACCTCTTTTCTGACCATGACTGCAGACCTGGGCCTGGGGTGCAGGCCCCACGCGACCCGTAGCCCCTGCTTGGAGATTCTCCTGCTAGTAGACGGAGATGTCGGGCCTGCGGAGCCCTCCAGAACTTGTCACACGTGGGGTGACTTCTTCCACTGCCTGGGAAGGGGTGAGTCTGGTCTGAGACTCTCAAGGGAAAAACAGTTTTCAAAATGAGCCACCTTAGCCGGGCGGTGGTGCACACCTGTAATCCCAGCACTCCGGAGGCAGAGGCAGGGGGATCCCTGAGTTCGAGGCCAGCCTGGTCTACAGAGTGAGTTCCAGGACAGGCAGAGCTACACAGAGAAACCCTGTCTTGAAAAAAAAAAGCGCCACCCTTGGAGTCACCCCCAGCTGTTCATTCTCCATCTTATACAGCGCGATCAAGGCTGTTGGCCAGGGCAGCCACACAGCTGGACTTGGGGACCATGCACCCTGTGGGTTGCCAGCGGATAACGAGGGCAGAGATGCTCCGAAGCGTCCGTCTCACGTGACCATTATGTTGTTTTCTTCTCCCTTGCAGAATGAAGCGGACAGGACCTTGATCTACATCACACTCTACATTTCCGAGTGTCTAAAGAAACTCCAAAAGGTAATGAGGCTTGGCTCTCCCCCAGGGACAACAGAAGGAGCAAGTCTGTCCCTCACGAGCACCCGGGTCTGCGAAGACCAGAGGACAAGCCAAAGATCTCTCTGCTGCGGGTCTCCACCCACAGGGGACCTGACAGGAAGGGGGCTGGGAGGTGTGGTATGTGTGGAGACAGGAGTCTCCTTCGTCCTCTGAGAACAGTTGAGCATCTGCAGGGTGTGGAGGACAGCAGCACACAGCCATGGGCGCGTCTCCCCCACTTAAAGGCTCACAGTCCTCGTGTGTTTGAAAGAGCGGACTTTGAAACGTGTGCGCGTTTATCACTACTTCAGGATTTAACTAGTAAGATCTTAGCAGGCCCGAGTGTGATGGCGCACGCCTTTAATCCCAGCACTCTGGAGGTAGAGGCAGGTGGAGCTCTGTGAGTTCGAGGACAGCCAGGGCTACAGAGCGAGACTGTCTCAGAAAACTGAAAAAAAAAAAAAAAAAAAAATTAAAAGATATTATTGTGTGCGTTTGTGAAGAGAAATGTCTGCCTGGATAGTAAGTTTGGTTTCCAGTTTTTAACTACTGGATCCCAGTTGTGGGTTCTGTGGTTTTACTTCTTGGAAGCAGTGTTCTGAAGCGGGCTGCAGGTTCTCTCCCCGCAGAAGGGCGCTCACAAAACCCTGTCACACCCCGGCAGCTGCTTGCACCCAACAGTGGCAGTTTGGGAATTCATTCCTCTTCTTCTTATCAAATGTGTCCTTTAATTGTAGTGCAATTCCAAGAGCCAAGGCGAGAAGGAAATGTACACGCTAGGAATCACCAACTTCCCCATCCCCGGAGAGCCTGGCTTTCCCCTCAATGCCATTTACGCCAAGCCCGCGAACAAACAGGAGGATGGTGAGACGGGACTGTGTGTGTGTGTGTGTGTGTGTGTGTGTGTGTGTGCGTGTGTGTGTGTGTGTGTGTGTGTGTGTGTGTGTGTGTGTGTGTAGCAAGTAGGTGTGGGTGTGAATGCACTTGGGGCATGTAGATTTGTGCGCATATGTGTGTGGACGCCAGAGGTTGGTGGCAGGTCTTCCTTGATCATTCTCCACATTGCGTGTGAGGAGGCAGGCTCTTTGACTGACCCAGGAGCTCACTGGTTCAGCTAGTGTAGCTGGCCGACGTGCTCCGGGGACCCCTGACTCTGCCCCCTAAGGGCTGGGAGGCCAGGCCAGCCACCATGTCCGTCCTACCTTTGTGTGGGTGCCGAAGATCCACACTCTGGTCCTCATGCTCGCACAGAAAGCTGCTTCTCCACTGAACCCCCCCCCAGCCCGCTGCCTGGTGCTCAGGTTGATGGGGGGGGGGGCAAGAGAGAGAGGAGGGAAGGAAAAGGAAAGGAAAGGGTCTGACTGGCCCAGCCTTTCTCTCTCTAAGCTGTCTGAATGTGTGCACATCCCTCGCTGAGGTCAGTGTCTGGCCGGGCAGGCAGCGGGTACAGCATGTGTCCTCAGTGCAGATTTCATGTTTCAGAAGTCATGCGGGCGTACCTACAGCAGCTGAGGCAAGAGACTGGACTGCGGCTCTGTGAGAAAGTGTTCGACCCTCAGAATGATAAACCCAGCAAGGTGAGTCCTCGGCCCGTCCAATCGGATCTTAGCCCTTTGCCTGCTACCATTGAAACCTCCGAAGTCTTCTGTCACAAGAACGCTCACTTCCGCCTGACCAGGAGGACTCGGCTAGTGCAGCGTTCACTGCCCCACACTCAATAATGAGCAGATTAGAGTCGTGTGCAGGGTTTACATATGGGGTGTGTGGTCATTCCTTGATCGCCATTGGAGCCACAGTCTGGGTATTCTGTCAAATGGCATGATGTTTGTCTGTGACCTGTGTGCATCCTCTGTGGGTTTGAAATGCCCCAGGTTACCCCCACACTGAATGCCATGTAAATGATGGCTCTATTGCAGTGCATAGGGAAAAGTCACGAGGAGCAGAGTTTGTGTGTGCTCAGGACATGGTAGGGCCCCCTGCGGGGAGGGGCTGGGACAGTAGCACAAGCTGAGCTTGAACTGGCGACGCAGCCAAGGGTGGCCTTGAGCTCCTCCTACCTCAGCCTCTAGTTCTGCAGTATACGGGCATGCTACTGTGTCTGGCTCACACTCCCCCCCCTCCCCCCAATGTTTTTTTTTTGTTTTTTTTTTTTGGTTTTTCGAGACAGGGTTTCTCTGTGTAGCTTTGCGCCTTTCCTGGATCTCACTCTGTAGACCAGGCTGGCCTCG